AGACAACACCGAAAAGGCTTGTCATCCACGTTCAATGTTAGCTTAGGCTGATATTTTGAAAAAAAAAAGCAAAATAAAACAAAACATCTGTCTATCAAGATCCTTTCAAATGGAGTTTATTTCTCTTTGTCTTACTCCTTCTTTGTTAATACCAAATAGAGTCTTGTCTCCTTTTCCTTACCCCCTCTTCTGTGTGTGTGTGTGTGTGTGCCTTCGTGCTGTGGTGTCTTCTCTAGGAACCTGTGCCCTCCCCTACTCATCCTTTTTTGTCTGTTGTGTTTCCTTTGGTTCCTCCTGTAGCTGGTGATTATCAGGGATCTGTCAACATCTCACACCTACAGGGGTGGTTTGGAGCTTGGTAAGAAAAAGCAGTAGCTTCAATAAATACATGCTCTTTATTCTGTCATTGTGGTTTAAGGGCTGTATGAATAAATCATTTGCCTTTTTAGTCCCTGCTTCCATTTTGTAAAGCTCATTAACACTGAAAAATTTATGTTTTTATAGGATATAGAATATGGTTTGCATAAGTGGCCCATCACAGAGACCACACAACAAATGGCAAAGTGCTTGAGAGATAAAGTCTTTTGTATCTGGAAGTTTCTTTACACAAATTCACAACTAAGGAGCTATAATTAAACCAACAAATAGAAAACAATACTGCATCCCACCCCACCTACAAGAGAAAAATGATCATATTTCAGGGTCAGTCAGAACTTGTTTAAAATTATTTAGTAGGTTTAATAGAAATAATAGGATATTCCCTCCATTGAATTAGCCTGTGCCTTCCCTATATACTAAAATAGTATTTAAGGTCAGAAACAGTACTATCTTAATGTGAGAGAATAAATATGGATGGGCACAGGCTGTACATCTTGAGTATGCACAAAAGTAGATCTGAGCTTTGGCAGTGCAGTGCCACCAACTCATCAGTTCTAGGAAGTTCTCATTCAGGGCTCTCATATGATGCTTCTCAGAGGACAGTATGAATGAAATGGGATGCGACGTGTGTTCTGTGGTCTTCTCCAGCAGCAAACGTATCAGCCTTTCTTTGTTCCATTGGGTCATGGTAAATGGGACCAAGGACCTGTCCTGCCCACATCAACATGGGGCCCATGGAGCTGTGGAAGGAGATCGTGTTTGAGATTCTTATGGAACTCATGGCATATTCCAGGTGGCATTCTTTTGGGTCTGGAGGGATTGGGTGCACTTTAAGAATGAAGCACTGAAAACCACGTCTTTCCGTCTATCAGACAGTTGCATCTCTTTGTGTCTGACTGTCAGTTTTAGTGGTGTTCAGGCTAGCTCTAGTGTGAATGCTCTCACAGTGTATGTGTATGCTAGAATTTATAGTGTCTATATCATTTTAAATGCTTGATATGAAAAGATCTGTGTTAGATATCCATTTGCACTATCACATTTGCCTTCTTTAGGATTAATAAATATTTTTATCTTTCCTCTGTATTAGCTAAGTAGTAATACATGTTTACATTTTATTGACTATCTTAGATATTATAACATGTATTATGACTTCTTATAATCTAATGTAAATTATTGCTTTTACCACTTCCTTGATACTGCTAGAACCTTAAAAGTTATCTCCATTTATTCAAATCTTTGCTTTTTAATTTTCTGTTTTAAACTTCACAAACATTGTTATCACTATTTTGAGCAATCAATATTTATATCCATCCATATATTTATTCTTTCTTACTCCTTTCTTCCTGAATTTCAGGGTTTCTCTTTGGGATCATTTTTCTTTAGCCTATGAAGCTCACTCAGATTATTATTTTTTATTATTATTATTTTAGTGCAGATTAGCCATAGATGAATTCCTTATAGATGTATATTATTTTGTCTGAAAGCATATTTATTTCACTTTTATATTTAGGGGACATTTTTACTGGATGCTGAATAGTAATTAGGCAGTTATTTATTTTTATAAAACACTTCAAAGATTCTATTCTCTTCTGACTTCCATTAACTTCTATTGGGAAGGCAGCTACAGTCTTAAGTTTCTCTCCTTTGAGAGTAATGCATCTTTTTTCTTTTGCTGTTTAAAATTCTTCCCCTCTTTCTCTTTTTAGCCATTTTAGTCTAGGTGTGTTTCTCTTGAATTTATCTTTCTTATACTTTCTGAATTTATGAGTTGGTATCTTTTCTGTGTTTTGGAAAATTCTTGGCCAACATTTTCTTAACTATTACTTTTTTCCTCATTCTTTTCTCCTCTGGAATATTTTTCATTGTATCTAATCTGTTTCTTAGGGTTTCAAACTTTTCATTCCTTTTTTTCTTTGTGTTTTAGTTTCTAATGACCAGTATTGCAGTTTGCTAATTCCCTTTTATGTCAAATGTACAGACCTATTTGTTAAGGTTTCATATTAGTTATAGTATTTTTCAATTTTAGAATTGTATTGTTTATTAGTCACTCCCCTCAGTCTGAAGAAATTCCTCATCTTTTAATTCATTTCCATTATCTCTCCTCTACTTTTTGTACATAATATTCACAATTATTTTAGATTTCTCATCTTCTAAGCCCAATATCTCATTTATTAGAGGTTTATTTCTATTGTCTGTTACTGCTTTATTGGATTTTACTTAGAAAACCCTGCTCTTTTTCTTTCCTACTGTTTTTTTCATTGCATGCCCTTTGTGCATAAAATAATTTTAGTAGCTCCAAATGGTGCTGTTTTCCTCAAGAGATGATTACTCTTTCCTTTGACAGGTGAAGTGGGCTAAGGTAGTAACAAGAAAAACAGATTGATTCAAGATGCTTTCCAGTCAAAAGATCAGCAGGAGTTGATGGGTTAGGTGTCCAGGAGCAAGAGAATGTGAGGAACCAAAGTTACTTGCTAAAATTCTGGACCCAGACAGCTTGGTAGTTTGTGTAGCTACCATCTGAGCTTGGTAGCACTGAAGAAAGAACTTGTTTCAAAGCTGGTGTGAGTAGGAGTTCCCTTTTGTACCTGTGTCTCTGCTATTCAAGCCTTTGCGATGCTACATAGTTTTCTACAGGAGACTGTGTCAGCTTGCACTGAGTTGCATTCAGCTTTCCAAAGTTGCTTTACTCTTTCAATGTTGCTTCTGAGAAAGGGTAGATAGTGCAACAATTAAAAGTTACTATGTTTTAGCAAGTGTGTTTTTCTTCAATTAGTGCAGTCTGGCTCCATGCCTTTATTTGAATGATTATGGAGAAATCTGTTTACTACCATCTGTGCCTTCACAGGAAGGCATGATAACTTGTTTGATTTAAAATGGGGGTCTTATTGTCCACATCTTCATATGCAGTTCTTAAATTTGTCTTACCTGATGTTGACAGCAATGTCTGTGTGCAACAAGCGTGGTACAATGATCAGGGGGTACACTTGGGCACAGTGTTTCTCTGACGGCAAGCTTGTGTTCTAATCATGTAACTAATGATGTAAACCTCTCCGTAAACTTGAGGGGCTTTCTCTTTGACATTTGTCTCTGCAGGAGAAACAATAAGAATACTCCCTGGATTTTAGCAAAGTTAGCACATTTAATGCATAAATAACATTCCACCTCATGCTGACTTCTGTCTGTTGGTATACTGTTGCTTCTTGTTTTAGAAAGCTTATTGAAGAAAATGGTTCTTGACTCATTTAAATCAGTATTTTTAATACTGAACATGTTCCAAAAACTAAATTTATGTTCAGTCTTATCTTGAACTACTCTTTGTGTGGAAAGGTATTTTGATTGAGGCTATTTATTCCTTGTAAAAATGTGGAATAGACTTTTTCCCTCAAAAGATACTATTTCTGTTGTTTTTGTACTTTTCATTTTCTTTTTTTTTTTAAGGAAAACATGAGAGGAGAAATCCTGTCTACTTCTCATTTCAAGCTATTTTTTTTTCTGTTTTTTTCTACCTGTAAGGCCTAACCTTGTTAGGATTTTTTTAGAAGCTTAAATATCAGGTCCACAAAACCTAGTCCTTGAAGGCACAATACGTTAGAAAAACAAGCCTACTTAAAAAAAAAAACCCAGCAAAAAAAACTACTATATTCTTAGTCTCCATAGCAATTCCTGACAGATAGTAAGCATTCAATTCTGAACAGATGAATAACTGGATACATGGATCTAGTGGCTTCAGATTGCCTAATGAAGGAAAACTGCATCTTCAGGTGGACCTTCCAGATCTGGACCAAGCAGCAATACCAGGGCAAACTCAGTCTATTTTTTTTTCAACTTATTTGCAAAAAACAGGAAATGCAACTTCAAGTTTAGAGTGAAAAGATTGTGCAGCATCCAGATAGTGAAACAGGTTACAGGCTAATTCAGGATAGCATTAGATTATTTATTTTTTATTATATATATAATCCACTCACGGCAAAGAAACATGCTTGAGCCAGCACTTGTATGGAAAATAGGTTTTTGAGACTTACTCTTGGAAGGTTACAGTCTTTCCTGGGATCAAACAGAATTTCTGGAGTAGGGAATCTTATGGGCAGCTAGGGTGAACATTTTTCTGTCAACTTCATTTAATATGTATTAAATTCTCAGTGAACTGTCACCTGAGAAGCATTACTTGGGATCGAAGGTGTGTGATAAAAAAAATTCTAAAATATAGCCCAGTGTCCTTAACTGGGTTAATGGCCCAGACTCTTATTCCCTGTCAGGGGAAATACTCGCAGGGATTAGTGAAAACTGCAATAGCAAACCTGACAAGGAGCGAAGGCCACAGTCAAAGTCACAGAGAGATGCTCAAAAGAGAAGTTACGTTCCTGTTGAGCAGAGAAACCTGTGCTCTGGAAAGGCCGGAAAAAATGTGCTTTGAAAAACAGGGTCTTTTGATTTAAGCTTCTTCTTGTGGTACATGTGCGGTGCCTCCCTGGTCACATTATTAAAGGAAATAATGGCTAAAGACAAAAGAGTGTTCCAATATGATCCAGATCCTGTGTCAGGTCTCATTCTTAAACATTAAGGTTTAGCAAGTTGGATCATTTAATATTCTTTACTACATAGCACTGTAAATGATAGGTTCTGTTCCATAATAATCTAACTCAAATATAGTCATCCCCCTTATCTACAGGAATATGTTCCAAGACCCTCCAGTGGATGCTTGAAATCACGGATGCTACCAAGCCCTCCATATATGCTGTTTATTCCTATATGTACACACTTATATGAAGAGGAATTTATCAATGAGGCACAGGAAGAGATTAACAATAATTGATAATAAAATAGAACAATTACAACAATATACTGTAATAAAAGTGTGAAGATGGACTCTTGCTCTCAAAGTATCTTATTGTGCTGAGCACACCCTTCTTGTGATGACATGAGATAATGAAACACCTGCGGGACGAGGTGACCTGGGCGGATAATGCAGGTGCTGTGACGTAGCCCTAGGCGACCACTGACCCGACGCGGTGCAGGAGTATCCAGGCGGCGCTGATGGGAGACTGAAGCTGTGGAGAGAGAAACTGCGGGTAAGGTGGGACTGCTGTGCGGACCCAAGGCTGGTTTTCGCGTTTGTTCTTTCTCTAGCTAAGCTGGACGTGCAGCCAATCTAATGGTAATGCTAACAATGTTACTAGTACTGTTATTTACTGAACTTAACATGCGCCAGGCACTATTCCTCGGCCATTGTCCTTCACGAACTGATCGTCACAGAATCCCATGAGTTAGTGCCATTATTGTGACCGCTTTATAGATGAGAAAATTGAGGCAGAGAAGGTCAGTAATTTGTCCAAGGACCAAAGGCCTAGTGCAAATCAGAGATTACAACTTATTTGATTTTGGAGCCCAAACCCAAAACAAGCAAGTTGTACATTTCTCTTCTTGTTACTTCTCTGGGGGGTATGGTATGTTAGCCTAAAACAAACTATTGTGAGTTACTGATAAATAAATATTAACTCGAAAATCTTCTAGCCGTCCATCAAAAGACATGCTGTATCACTGTTGGAAAAATGGTCTCATAGCTGACATCATATCATTGAAAGGAGATAGAGAGCCTCTAATACTCAGATTTCTGCTTGTTTCTAGAACATGCACCTGTCAGATCTAAAGTCTATTATTAACTGGGGTCTATAAAAGATTCATTAATTTTTGCAGTGATGATACTTCAGGGCTCAGTCTAAAGAATTATTCAGCTGCAGGCTGTTTATTACAGGGTGATTAATTGGCAATATTTATATATTATTCTGTGTTTATTTGTTCCTGAAGCTAATTGTAATTGCTAACTATCTTGGATCCTTTTTTGAAGGATACAAATTTAGGTTTTAAATAAATAAATTCTTTAAAGAAATGTATCCTTATATAACACCAGAGCCTCAGAGACTGTTTCAGCTCTTCTTGGAAGATAAATTTGCTAACTTAACTCCTGTAGAGACTTTTCTTTCATCTGGCAATCATACAGAGGCTTTGCCGTCACCCTTTGTGTGGGGCTCAAAGTTGGAAAATTCTGGGCTGTGGATGATTGAGGCTTTTTTTCCCATGGCCACATCCTGTAGTCTTTTATGATTTCAGGGTTTGGTCTTGACCCAATTCTACCTTTTCTCCATAGTCCAGGGGCCTCCTGTGCTTCATTACTTGCCTAATCTGTGCCAACTCTATCTCTACAAAAAGATATTTTGCCAGTAGACTAGGATGGCATCAATGAAGACTATGACAGAGATGTAAATCCTTTATTTAATCTTCATGGACAATGTCGTTAGCTCAGAAGGAATGGTGCCATGGTGCTCGAAGTTTTAGTCACGCATGATGGTGCTCAGAGAAGGGTAATTCTGGAAATCACGTGACTTCATCAGTAGAAGGTTCTATTGTTATAGTAATATATTGTAAGAAAATTCAAATATATCTCCTAAGATAATAAATACAAATTACTAATTAGATACTTCATTGCTATGAAATAAATGAATGTATGTGGCTGGGTATATTTTCTGAACTACTGTATTGCCTATACTCCCCTTGCCCCCCACCCCCACCCCACATTTGAACATTTTTAGGTTGGAATATGTCTTACAACTAAGGTGGATCTTTAATTTTGTACTTTGTTTTTCCTCACAAAGTAATTACTAAAGTCACTGTGTCATAATCCATGTATCTCCAAATTCTAAATCATTTCAAATTTGAGAGAAAAGGAAAAGAAGGAAGAAGAATAAATTATGTGGCTTGAGATAAAAATATCTCTGTATGCTGATTTATCTTTATTGGTGACTACCTTTAAGAAGACATACTTGGCCTGGGGCCCATGTGTGCTCTTGCCATATGGCAGCAGGGACACAGAGGACTCAACCCTCCTTTAAACAAGATGATTTGAAGGAAAAAAAATGAGGGAACTCAATTTCTTTTCTAGGGCCCTACTTATTAGCCAGTCCAGCTTTTTTGCAGAAGGTAGTAAGATCTGCAGAGAGATAAGCAGTGTACATTTTTCTCAACTGAGAATGGCATAGTTTTTACCCTTCTTTGAAAACTTCTAGAAGTGGGAAATCATTGCCCCATCATTATAATTAAGGAAAAGTAATAGAATATATAAAATATTGCCTGTGCAAAAGCTAAATAAGGATAAACAGAAAGAAAAATAAGATATTACTATTCTAAAACATCTTCAAACCAAAATGTAGCATTTAGAAATACCGAAGGAATTTCTAGTACCAGAAATACCACAGGGGTTTCTTCCATAACTTAGGGAAAACCATCTAAATAGTTTGTCCTTCTTTACCAACCCATGTTGGCAGCCAGTTAAGTGCATTCAGTCATCAAATAATTAATGTTTTAAGGGCATAATTACTAAAGTCACTGTGTCATAATCCATGTATCTCCAAATTCTAAATCATTTCAAATTTGAGAGAAAAGGAAAAGAAGGAAGAAGAATAAATTATGTGGCTTGAGATAAAAATATCTCTGTATGCTGATTTATCTTTATTGGTGACTACCTTTAAGAAGACATACTTGGCCTGGGGCCCATGTGTGCTCTTGCCATATGGCAGCAGGGACACAGAGGACTCAACCCTCCTTTAAACAAGATGATTTGAAGGAAAAAAAATGAGGGAACTCAATTTCTTTTCTAGGGCCCTACTTATTAGCCAGTCCAGCTTTTTTGCAGAAGGTAGTAAGATCTGCAGAGAGATAAGCAGTGTACATTTTTCTCAACTGAGAATGGCATAGTTTTTACCCTTCTTTGAAAACTTCTAGAAGTGGGAAATCATTGCCCCATCATTATAATTAAGGAAAAGTAATAGAATATATAAAATATTGCCTGTGCAAAAGCTAAATAAGGATAAACAGAAAGAAAAATAAGATATTACTATTCTAAAACATCTTCAAACCAAAATGTAGCATTTAGAAATACCGAAGGAATTTCTAGTACCAGAAATACCAGAGGGGTTTCTTCCATAACTTAGGGAAAACCATCTAAATAGTTTGTCCTTCTTTACCAACCCATGTTGGCAGCCAGTTAAGTGCATTCAGTCATCAAATAATTAATGTTTTAAGGGCATTTACTAAAATTTGCTTAGAGAGATCATTTTGGAAGTAGAATAAAGCCAAGGCAGGTATGTAGATCATATTGTATCTTAATTAATGAAACTTTCTATTTAAGCTTCATCTGTAAGTCAATGTCTAGTGTGTCTGGCATGGTTTACAGAAATTATTCTTGAGGAAGGGTAGCTATTCAGCAGAAGGTACAATCTAGCAATTAGAAGAGGCTGCAGTCTTGGTTACTTAATAGGTGTGCAAATCTCCCAAATCCTCTGAAAAACTGGCTCAGGAATTCATTCCTATATTATTATTCTAGGAATTGACCTCTTGAAGTTAAGTACTCAGTAACGCGGGGTTCCCAGATAGAAAGAAGGGCCTGGGTTTTTACATCCAGGGTAGAAAGGGTAGTTCATCACTAATACAATTATTACAAGTAGAACTAATTGTTCTTAGATTTAATAACTAGCTCCATGGCTGGTCATGGATTAACTTTTTCTATTTAATAATTGTTATATTAGTAGGAAGTATTCTTTTTGATGCCACAAATCCTTTGATTGGGAGAAGTCAGGTTTGATGTTCTGTAACCATGATATTTAAAAATGACAGTTGACTTTGCCTATTTAGGAAGTATCTATACACATTTGCACAGAGAAAACACAAGAATTTAGAATTTTCTTCAGGGATTTGTTTTGGAAATGAACTGGAATCATGTGAAGCTGAACCTGTTTTTTGACTTTAAACAAGATTTATCCACAAAAGTTGATTTTTCATAGGCAGCACATATATTCTTGCAAAGGCTGATCACTTTTAAAGTGCTGGATTAATGACGTTAAAAAAAATTAAATAACCCTGTGTTACAACCCCAGCACACAGTCTTTGTCGTCAAGGAACTTACCTATTTGGAAAGTAAATTATGTACATGAGGTCATTTGTTGTCTGTGTGGACATGATAAAAATGCCTTCAACTTTTTCATCGTAAGATTCCTCCTGTAAGAAATGAGAGGATTGGATCAAGTAGCTGGCAAAGTTTATTTCAGCACTATAATTCAGAGTTGAGAATAATTTCAGAAAAATATGGGTAAAATAATTACATGGTAAATCATATGTTTATATGCTAAGATTGAAGGATTGTGTTGATCTGAGTCTTGCAGAATGCAAGGGATATATATGGGTTGGTAGGCAGGGAAGAAGGGTTGTAGTACCTTTTGTTAGGGCAGCAAGGGTGGCCTTCCAAATTGTGTCTGTTCCAGTGGAATCCAATTTGTTGCTTCTCTGAGCATATACTTTGTCCAACCCAAACAGGTCAGAGGTTCTCCATCATCTGCAGACTGAGTTTTGACTTTACAGAATCATTACTGTGCATTGATTTGGACCCAGCGTCCCTGAAGACCAAACTTGTGCTTCAGCTTTGGCACCTACTTACTCATTATTTACCATTTACCCCCTCTCAACTGTTCCCTCTATTGTTCTGTCTATGTTCCTCTTTTACACTGTACCCTCTGTCTCTTGCATATCTCAAAATATCTCTTGCATATAAGAACAATTATGTTTCTAGGAACTTGACTTTTTCCTTGGGAGACCTTTATGATCCCAGCTAAAAGCACTTTTTTGTGTGTGTATTAGTTTGGGTGGATAATGCTCTTCTTCCTCTCCCTACTTTCCCACCTAAGGTCGTAGAGAAGTGACTTTCTCCATTACCTTTAGTGTATAATAGAAGTGTTGAGCATGTGTTTGTATCACCTTTCTGTCATTTCTTATTGGAGGCATTACTGTCAATAATGGTCTTGATAATTCTTCATTGTACAGAACTGTTCTTACTTTGGGACAGTTTAACATCCTGTGATTTAAATAAAAAACATCCCCCTTGATTTCAGTCCTTTCCCCAAGTGGTGTCATCTGACCCCCCTTGGGAATCCCTGAGTCCCCATTCTTGCTCTTCTCTTGGGAGGTGGACTGACTGACTTGGTCAGGTTGGCGGGAGCTGAAAATTCATTGGTTATGGTTCTCTAATTGACACAGATGAGGTGGTAAAATTCTGTCTTTTTTTTTCATTTTTTTTAAATTGAAATTTTATTGTTTAAGAGCAGTTGAGGTTCACAGCATGCATGATGAAGGTAGAGATTTCCTATGTATTCTCTGCCCCCACACATGCACAGCCTCCCTCATAATCTGTATCACCCATCCCAGTGTACATTTGTTATAGTCAATGAACCTACATTGACACATCATTAACACTCAATATCCATAATTTACATTACTGTTCACTCTTGGTCTTGCACATACTATGGGTTTGGACAAATGTATACTGACATGTATCCATCATTATAGTAGCATACAGAGTATTTTCACTGCCTTAAAAATTCTTGTGCTCCCTGTTTATCCCTCCCCTCCCCACAACCTCTGGCAATCAATGATTTTTTTGCTGTCATCATTGTTTTGCCATTTCAGACTGTCATATAATTGGAAGCATGCAGTATGTAGATTTCTTTCACTTAGTAATATGCATTTAAAGTTCCTCCATGTTTTTTCATGCTTTGGTAATTCCTTTTTAGTACTGAATAATATTCCATTGTATGGATGTACCACAGTTTATTTATCCACTTAGCCTACTGAAGAACATCTTGGTTTCTTCCAAGTTTTGGCAGTGATGCATAAACATATTTATATGTTTTAAATAAGAAACTGTTATAAACATCTGCGTGCATGTTTTTGTGTGGATATACATTTTTAACTCTCTTGGCTAAATCCCAAGGAGTGCAGTTGATGGATTGTATGGTAAAAGTATATTTAGTTTTGTTAGAAATCCCAAACTATTTTCCAAAGTAACTATACCACTGTATTCTCATCAGCTGCAACTCATATTTCAGGTAGGACGTCTTTGTTTGTTCTTTCTTCTTGCGCTATGCTTTGGTGCATCTGGGCTCATGCAGGTCCTTTTGTTAGGCTTGAGGTGAAGGGCAGAGATGTCTTAGTCTACATTCTAGTGTATCAGAAATTCCACTGCATAGGAGCAGTTGGACTCTTACCTCACATTACTAATGCAGTTGCCACTTGAAATCACACTTAGCAGCTTCCATCTGTTCTTTTTAGTTAGGTACAAGTAGATTGGAGGGTGAATGGGGTATCTGAATCCCTGTAAGATTTGGAAACTTCTTCAGCACTTACATGCGTCTACGTGCTTATCTAAGCATGCTGTAAATTTCTTGTGGGCTAGGATTATATATTACTAACTCTGTTTGTCTCCTAAAACTCTTTATCACCTTGTTCATTGTAGGTACTAGCTCTGTTGAACTGAATAATAGTAGGTTATACACACTGAACGCTTACTATGTGCAGGCACTGTTGTAAAGGCTCCGTATGGATTAACTCATTTAAAACACTTAAGAACTCTATAAAGGCACTTACTTTTATTATGGCATTTTATAGATGAAGACACAGGGAAGTTAAATAACTCCTCAAGATCACCCAGTTAGTAAATGGCACAGCCAAGTTTTAAAATCAGGCAATCTGGCTCAAGTGCAAACCACAGGGTGGTATCTTTGGAGAACAAAGTAAGATTGGTGATAACAAAAGTCACTTGAAAAGTACTCTCCATTACTCTTTTTAAGTTAAGTTTTAGTAGGATTTGAATAAAAAAAAACATTAGTGGTTGGAAGAGGTCTTGAGAGAATCATTTAGTAAGGTTACTTTTGAAACAAATTCCTGGGATCTCCTCAAGAGCCATGGTGTGTGTGTGTGTGTGTGTGTGTGTGTGTGTCTAAGGGATCCGTTACAAGCCCTCCTAGGGTGCCCTGGTCCATCTCCTTATTTTAACCAGTTCTATACACTAAGACATCTGTGTGTGGTCTCTTTCGAGTAAAAGGTTCAGCTGCTAAAATAATTGTTTAAAAACTAGACAGAACAATACCTAAATTGCCTGGAGTGATTGGAATAATATTGATTTACAAGCTTTTTAAGGTGAATATTTTAGTCATTCACTCTGTTAAGTAAACTAGAGAACTAAAAAGCACAGTATTAGTTCTTTAATAGCTATATAACTAAAAATAAAACAACTTGGCTAGATCCTTTTCTTAGGAGGTTAGTAGACAATTTACTCAGTTGTTAGAAGCATAGAAATACAGCAAATCCAAAGTGCAGAAAGGCTTTTCAAAGGAAGGCAGTTAAGGTGTCAGATATTAGCAGGGAAGATATGTTTTGTGGTAGCTACAAATCACAGTTCTGCTTTATCTTTTGTACTTTAAGTGCTCAGACTATAAAATCAGGTTATGTCCTTGCTAGTTCCTTCAGCTTCCATAGATCAGAACTTATATTCATATATTTTCTTTGCATCCATGACCACTTCAAGGTTCTTCCCTCTTCATGTGCTTTGCCTGGTGTTGTTCGGTCCTCCTCAGTAGAAAATCCATAATATTTGGTGTGTAATGTTTACCACTTCTGTCTCTGCAATGTGGTTGAATATAATGTGGGGTAATGACCATCTTTCTAAATCTTGAATTCATAGGCTCGTAACAAATAAAAGTAAAGCCTTCTAGGTCAAATGAATTGTTACCTAGGTGCCTTGAGAGATTATAAGGCAAAGTGTAGAGAAAAAGGCACCTTTCAATAGCTATATAGATTTAGTTTCAGAACCGATAAGATTTCAGAACAGATTTTTTGTTTTACCTCCATAGGCTGAGAAAGAAAATGAAAAGGATAGAGAGTAAAGTCTTAAACATTAGAAGCAAGATGAAAATCAGATCACAGATATAAATACATACTATTCTCAGGTATAGCTGAGCCTAAAATTCTATAGCATTCATGTAGTTTATGTTAATTGCAAATCATCATGAAATAGGTTTGACAGCTTCATTTCACCTTTAAATTTCTAGTTTGAATCTACTTGTGTGTGGGAAAACAAATTAAACATAGATAGCTGCCGCTTCCTGGGGACTTAAAGGAATAGCTTAAATAAGCATCTAAGAATAATTAAAGAGATTTATTCTTAGAAGAATGAACTGTGAGAGATACTTGAAGTATGCTTTTTTATATATCGTATTCCAATTCTATAATAATTTTGTATCTGTTTAATTTGACACCTGTGTATATATGTGTTTATACTAAGCTTCAGCAAATTATAATAAGCAATGCATTCATAGTTTCAGGCTGTGGGGCCCATCCTTTTTCTATCCCAATAGCTGATTGCTTAATAAGTAAATAACAGAACCTCCTTGAGAGTAGGGGTTGAGGTTAACACATTAAAATCAACAAGAATAAAAGAATACTTATGAACACAGTTCTTCAATGCTCTGGAAGATTGAGTCCAAATTAACCTTTTGCTTGGAAGCAAAAGATAAACACATAATTGGTTAAAATGATACTTTAAAAAAGTGGCCATTTCCTTAAAAAAAGAAACACCTTTGTCTCATATATAGGAGTGTCAGTGTAGGTTTTTACCTTTTGGATAGTGTATAATTTGTCTGGAAATTGAGTAGTGACTAACGGTAGAGACAACCATTTTGCTACTTTCAAATTAGCCACCATCTGATGATGATTAGTAAGTGAGCAAGAAAGGTCGTTCCTATTTATGTCTTACCTTGTGATGCCATAATTTCCAAGCCATCTGTTCTTTGGAGTATTTATGTGGAGGAAATGAAGAACTCAGATTCATGCAGAAACCTTAGAATCCATCCAGAGCGTATCCACAAGCCACAGAGTATATCAGACAGACATCAGATACTCCAGGACAAAGGCAGACAGGAAACGCCCAAGAAGGAAGTGCTCCCGACAGAATATCTGCCCTGAATACTTGATTGCAGTCTATGTATCTAATCTTTAACTGTTTTCGTCAGTAGGAAATTATTAAGTATCACAAATTCATTGGCATAATCACACTATTAATGATAATACAACTAGAATTCTAATTCTAAATGAAAACCAAACCAATCTAGAGAATATAAATTCCCCTAAGATACTAAAACAAGATGAAGGATGAAGTAAAGACTTCCTATTTTTCTCAAGGGCCAAAAAACAAACAAACAAAAAACCACTGGGAAAAAACAAGTTCAGACAACTGAAACTTTTCTTCTGGAGCTAATTTTTGTTCATTATCTCACATTTTATGTTCAGCAGTTCAGACTAGGGGGTTGGCAAATACCACTTACCCAAAAGCAGTTGGCTGTGTTAGTTGAAGCAGAGGTTGCTTGAGAGATTTCTGATTCTGTTATGCTTTGAATCAATGTTTGGCCAATGTTGAAATGCCAGGAGAGAGTGCAGCTGTGAGACCAGTTTTGCTGGTATATCCGGGAGACACACAATCTGTGTGTTTATGATAGGGCCTGGGTTTAATTTTCCTAGTTTGAGAAAAATCTGTCTCTCACAGAGCAGCCTGCTCATTTGACACATTTTGGCCTCAGCAAAATATGAAGGACAGGTAATGCAGCAAGGGAATTGACAATTCAGCTGCTTCAGTAAGAGTGATCTTATATCAAAATGTGCAATATTCTGGGGTAAAAGGATTTTAAGTCCCATTTTTTTTTTTTAATGCTCAATCAGAGACCACCATACTTGGTGTTCAGGGTGAATTCTCAGCTTCCACTGATTCACACGTTGGTAAGAAAGGGACCTATTGAACATAAGAAAAATGAGTCAGGATTCTTCACAAGCACTGTACCCTAAATCTAGACATTTTCTGTTAATAGTCATCATTTCTTCCATCTGCAGATCTGAGAAGTCATTCGGCCTCAAAAAAGAGTAGCCTTTGCAAAGGGATCATTGCCTATGAATTTATCTTATAAAGTGTCTTGCGGAGGGTATACAGATACAGATATACCTTGGTTTATCGAGCTTTGCTTTATTGTGCTTTGCAGATACTGTGTTTCTTACACATTGAAGGTGTGTGGCAACTCTTCATTGCAAAAGTCTGTTAGTGCCATTTTCCAACAAAATTTGCTCACTTCACATCTCTGGGTCACATTTTAGAAATTCCCAAAATATTTAAAATGTTTTCATTGTTACTGTTGTATTTGTTATGGTTGTCTGTAGCCAGTGATTTTTGATGTTGCAGTTTTAATTGATTTGGGGTACCATGAACCATGACAGTATAAGATGGCAAACTTAACATATAAATGTATGTGCTCTGACTACTCCTGCAATCAGCCATCCCCTCACCTCTCTCCCTCTCCCCAGGTCTCCCTGTTCCTTGAGACACAACAATATTGAGAGTAGGTCAATTAATAACCCTACAAGGCCTCTAAGTGTTCAAGTGAAAAGAAGAGCTGCATGTCTCCCACTTTCAGTCAAAAGCTAGAAGTGATTAAACTAAGTGATTAAGACACATTAAAAGCCAAGATGAGCCAAAAGGCTATGCCTGTTGCACCAAACAGTCGAATTGTGTAAGCCAGGAAAAGTTCTTGAAATAAATTAAAAGTGTTATCCAATGAACATATGAAGGGTAAGAAAGCAGAACAGCCTGACTGCTGATATGAAGAAAGCTTTAGCGGTCTAGATAAATGATCAAATCAGTCACAGCATTGCTACAAGCTGAAGCCTAATCCAGAGCAAGGCCCTAATTCTCTTCAATTCTGTGAAGCCTGAGAGCAGGAGGAAGCTGCAGAAGAAATGTTTGACACTAGCAGATGCTGGTTCACTAGGTTTCAGGAGAGAAGCCATCTCTGCAGCATAGAAGTGCAAGGTGATGGAGCAAGTGCTGATATAGAAGTTGCAGCAAGTTATCCAGAAGCTGTAGCTCAGATCATTAAGGAAGGTGCTGCACTGAACGACAGAGTTTCAGTGTAGATGAAATAGTCTTCTATTGGAAGAAGTTGCCACCTAGGATTTTCATAGCTAGAGAAGAGAAATCAGTGCCTGGCTTCAAAGCCTCAGAATACAGGCTGACTCTCTTGTTAGGGCTAAGCAGTTGGTGACTTTAAGTTGAACCCAGTGCTTATTTGCCATTCTGAATATCCTAGGGCCCTTCAGAATTATGCTAAATCTACAGTGCTTGACCTCTAGAAATGGGAATACAAAACTTGGGTTGCAGTACATCTGTTTGCAACTTGGTTTACTGAATATTTTAGCTGCACAGTTGAGACCTGCTCAGTAAAAAAATATCTTTCAAAATATTACTGCTTATTGACAGTGCACCCAGTCATCTAAGAGCTTTTATGGAGATGTATACATAAAGATGAGGTTAATGTTGTTTTCAGGCCTGCTAATACAACATTCATTCTACAGCTCATGGATCAAGTGGTCATTTTGACTTTCAAGTCTTATGATTTAAGAAATACATTTTATAAGACTGTAGCTACCATACATAGTGATTCCTCTGATAGATCTGGGCAACATACATTGAAAACCTTCTGGAATGGATTCACCATTCCTGATGCTGTTAAGAACATTTGTGATGCATGGGAAGAGGTAAAAATATCAACATTCACAGGCGTTCGGAAGAAGCTGATTCTGCTCCTCATTGATGACTCTGAGGTGTGACTCCTGGAAAGAAAAAACATCAACATTCAGAGGAATTTGGAAGAAGCTGATTCTACTCATTGGTGACTCTGAGGGGTTCAAGACTTCAGTGGAGGAAGTAACTGCGGATGTGGAAATAGCAAGAGAACTAGATTAGAAGTGAATCCTGTAGACGTGACTGAATGGCTGCAATCTCATAAAACTTAAACCAATGAGGAGCTCCTTCTTATGGGTGAGTAAAGAAAGTGATTTATTTTCTTTTAAATAAGGTATCATTGGTATACAATCTTATGAAGGTTTCACATGAGCAACATTGTGATTCCAACATTCCCCCATATTATCAGTCCCCCTCCCCCACACCCCATTACAGTCACTGTCCATCAGCGTAGTAAGATGCTATAAAGTCATTACTACTCTTCTCCCTGCTATACTGCCTTCTCTGTGACCTGTGTATACTGGGAGTGTTAATTATAATGCCCCTTAGTCCCCTTCTCCTTCCCTTCCCACCCGCCTTCCCCAACCCCTTCCCTTTGGCAACCGCTAGTCCCTTCTTGAAGTCTGTGAGTAAGAGTGGTGTCTTAAGATGGAAACTTCTCCTGGTAAAGATATTGTGAAGACTGTTGCAATGATCACAAAGGATTTAGAATATTACATATATGTACTTGAAAAAGCAGTGGTAGAGTTTGAGAGGATTGACTTCAATTTTGAAAGAAGTTCTACTGTGGGTAAAATGCTGTCAAACAGGATCACATGCTACAGAGAAATCATTTGTGAAAGGATTGACATGAACTTGTCAATCAGTGCAACATTACACTGCTGTTTTCTTTAAAGAAATTGCCAGTGACCCCAACCTTCAGCAACCACCACCCTGATCAGACAGCCACCATCAACATGGAGGTGAGACTGTCCATCAGCAAAAAGATTATGACTCACTGAAAACTCAGATGATGGTTAGCACATTTTGGCAGTAAAGTATTTTTTATTGAAGTATGAAAATCTTTTTAGACATAATGCTATTGCACACTTCATATACTACATTCCAGTCTGTATATAACTTTTATATACACAGAGAAACCAAAAAATTAATTTACTTACTTTATTGCAATACTTGCTTTACTGCAGTGGTCTGGAACTCAACCTGTAGTATCTCTGAGGTATGCTTGTATATAAAATATATAAAATATAAATTGTGGGTAGGTGGTTCTTAATTCTGGAAATGAGCTTGAGGATTCAGCATTTCTATTTGTTGTGATTAACTTTCTCATAGTGCCTAGACTCTGCTGGGTTATGCAATGATGCTTATCATTCTCAGTGAGCCTGAGAATAAAGGCATCGTTTGACACTAGACCATAGATGTTTTATTAGCTTTGAAGTAGCATGACTGTTCTCATGCAGAGAGGATTAAAGGAAATTTGTTCACTAACACCTCAAGATTTGGAATCCAGAAATGAAACTGAAACAGGAACAACTTATTTCCTATTCCCGCTAATAGAATTTTCTTATTTTTGTATATGTAACATCAAGATGTAAATTATTCATGCCTAATGTCCTTTTCCATATGATTTACTGCTTCAACTCTTTCAGAATTCCACATGTCACAGGTGAGTTGGTTTTTCTGAAAGATATAAAATGAAGTAATAAAAATAGCCAGCTAATCTGATAGCAGAAGGCCCCAAATGTCAGAAGAGTGTGCACTTTGGTTAAATATCAAGGCAGCTCTCATTGTGATATGGATTGTAGTGAAGGAGAAGAGCAAATAGGATGGTGACTCTTTTTTGTGCTAGCCATGGATGCAGGTTGGGAGGTTACCAGAATTTCTTCAGTTCTCATTAGACTTATTTCAGCTTACGCCTTCTCTGGAGTTTCCGAGAAGGCATAAAACATAATTTAAAGAGCATTCCTGTTGTTAAGAAGTTCCAGGCATAAGCTAATAATTACAAGATTTCAAACACAGTTTATATTCTGCCCCATTCTTTTTCCCTCCTCCAGTTTTTTGTTTCTTTTTGTTTTTAAATCACTCTTTGGGTATACTAAAAGGCACTAGTGTCTTGAATAAAGATGTTTCAGAAAAGATACTTTATTCTGTATTTGTCCTTTGTAACCAACAATTTCCAAATGCTTAGCAGCATGTATAGAATAGCCTCATAAAGCTTATAGGTAAGAGCAGTTTAAAAACTGTTTTCTCAGACAGAACAAAAGTGTTGCCAAGCCCAGGAGACTACTTAAGAATCACAGTACTAAGAGCTGGAATTGGTCTTGGAAATGATCCCTGTGTTCCAATGATAAACCAGAGGCCCAGAGAGGTGAAATTAGTTGCCTAA